GAAACCAGAAGGTTCTATGTATATGTCAGCAATAGAATTCAGTGCATCAGGAGGTTTTCTTGCCCTGAACAATGGCATTATGTTCTCACAAGCGAGAATCCAGCAGATGTCAATACCACGTCAGAGCCTGCAGCTCATCTTGCAGAGACCACTTGGCTGACTGGCCCTTGTTTCTTGTTACTCCCAGCAGTGACATGTTCTGGTGAAGAGAAATCTTATGGCCTTGTTGACCCAGAATCTGATACTGAGGTGCGATCTCACATCACTACTTGCATCAGCATACCTACAAGTCTCAGTTCTCACCGCTTTAAGCATTTCTCTACATAAAAATCTCTCATTAGAGCCGTAACTACTCTCATTCACATTGCACGCTCCTTCACATCTGCAGACGATCACCAGAAAGAATGTAGTGGCTGGCGTCACTGCCCTAAACCTTACTCAAGTGATGTCATGACTCAAGCAAAGGCTGTTGTCATTTGATGTGAGCAAAGGGAATCATAAAGGTGGAGTACAGCAGCTTGGAGAAAGGAAATTCATTCCTAAAAGTAGTTCACTCTGGAAACTTTATCCTAGATGGAGATGGGCTGCTGAGAATTGGAGGCCAGATTCAACATGCCAGACTTGATGCCGCTGAGAAGAGTCCTCTAATCATTCCTGTCAGAAACCATTTTACTTCTCTCCTTGTAGAGTATTACCATGCTGGAGTCAAGCACCAGGGCAGAGTCTTCAAGGAGCTATCCAGAATGATGGCTTCAGGATATTTGGGGTAAGGAGGTGTGTCGCTAGCAAATTACACAAATGTGTTATATGCAACAAACTCTGTGGCAGGACAGCTGAGCAGAAATGGCTGATCTCCCACCTGATCGTCTAAGTGTTGAACCGTCCTTTACAAATGTGGGTCTAGACGTATTTGGTCCCTGTAATGTGTCTACCCATCGCACTCATGGAGGAGCTGCCAATAGTAAAAGATGGGTAGTCCTTTTCACATGCCTCAATATACCTGATTGAGTTGATGGATACTTCCAGCTTTATCAATGCCTTATGGTGCTTCTTTGCTCTTCGTGGACCTGTTCGTCAAATTCGTTGAGACTGTGGCACTAACTTCAAGGGGGCCTGCAAAGAGCTGAAAATATTGATGGATAAAACAAATGACTCCAGTGTGTACAGATACCTCAGTGATGAGGGTGCACCTGGGTTTTCAACCCACCTCATTCTGCCCATATGTGTGGAGTATGGGAAAGGTTGATAGGGGTTTCAAGACGGGATTTTGGATTCTATGCTGGCACTAACCAATTCTTCCAATCTCACTCATGAGGTTCTGTCAACCTTTATGGTGGAGGTGACTGCTGGTATCAACTCAAGACCATTGATACCCATTTCTACTGATCCAGATGCTTCCTTCCTTTTTGACACCAGCGATGATCCTGACCCAGAAGGTCTGCACACCTTTGCCTCCTCCAGGCTCATATGACAAGGCAGGTCTATACCATCAGCAGTGGAAAAGTCTTGCTGATGCCTTCTGGGAAAGATGAAGGCGTGAGTACCTCTTGACTCTCCAAAGTCGGAGCAAGTGGCCGAACAGTCAAACCAACATTCAAGTAGGAAATGTGGTACTACTCAGAGATATCATTACAAGAATCTTTAGGTATTCTGTAATGTTAATAGTGGTATTATGCCTAACACCACACGGGGACTGCTACGTTGTATGTAATTCATAATTCTTGTGGCATTTTAGGTACTGCAGGGTGGCTTATTGAATTTTCTCTTGTATTGTTCTATTAGATGACTCTGGTCACATGACTGAAGGTCATGGTTCAAACAGCTGTATTGCAGCCAGTATAGAGAGCAACGCAGGTATGACAGAGCAGTTCTCAATCCATTGCAATCCATTGATGTTGATTCTAGGAGAAGCTACAAACATTTTCCATATTTTACTCTGTGTTTTCTGGAACCACAAATGTAGAACAATTTTTGAAAAAAGAAACTGGTGAATAAGAAGTTAACATCAGCTTACCTCGATGAATGCATTAATTTATCTTATTATAGGCTACTTAATCATGAATCTGAGACCGTTACTCCATTTAGAACCTCTCCAGAACCTTCAGATTCTGAGCTCCACAATGTAGACTCTCCTCTTCAGCTCGTCCGTCCCACAGGTTTTCTGTGGGGTTTAGGTGAGGGGACCAGGCTAGCCATGGCAAAACCTCAACTCTGTGGTCAGTGAATCATTTCTGAGTTGATTTTGAGGCGTATTTTGGATCATTGTCCTGCTGGAAGATCCCAACTATGGTCCAGTTTAAGCTTCCTGGCTGAGGTGGTCAGGTTTTGATTTTATTTCTGCTAGTACTTGATGGGGTCTGTGATACCATAAATCTTTGAAAGAAAACAGCCCCACAGTATCACAGATCCACCACCATACTTCACAGTGGGGATGAGGTACTTTTCTGCATGGCTGTCAAAAACCTCTATTTTGGTCTCATCTGACCACAGAACATGGTCCCACAGAAAGTTCCACTAATGTCTGGCAAACTGTAGTGGCTTGAGTTTGTTGGTCATGGCAAAGGATCTGAGACTATTCCTCCAAACAGAACCTCTCCAGATCCTTCAGATTCTGAGCTCCACACTGTGGACTTTAGGTCGGGGGGCTGGGGCGGCCATGGCAAAACTTTGGTTTTGTGATCAATTAACCATTTTTGTGTTGATTTGGTGTCCACACCAAACTAACCTCTGCTGTTTGTTGCTAAATACCTCTATTTTGGTCTCATCTGACCACAGAACACAGTCCTATGGAATGTTCCAGTAATGTCTGGCAAATTGTAGTGGCTTGAGTTTGTTGGTCCAAACAACTTTTGGTCACAACCTTTTGTGGCAGACCATGGCTGTTTTCTCTAATCTTTCTCATAGAGATGGATGACTGAGGGCCTCATATTTAAACACTGGTGAAGCAAGAAGTCATGGCTGACCATTTAAATGTACCAAACATAAAATATGGATGGGATTTCACTCTTAAGAATTTCTAGGAGCTCAAAACTGTGGCACACCTGAACTTCGGAGAAATATATATTTCATGAAAAGATTTAGTTTTTCTTTCAATCATTGTATTTCAAATCAAGGTTAGATTTTTGTTAATATTCTGAAAGAAAGATCAAAAGCATAAGCAATAAAGAATGTTTGTTTTTTTACAGCTCATTTTGCTCAGGTTTAGAGGAGCCACTGTTTGTGGAGGGGGCTGTAAAGTAGAATTATCTGGCCCACATCCTGTTACCTAATTACACAGAGGACAAAGTTTACACTCCTGCTTCACATAAAGCTACTTACACAACTTGCTTGTATAATTGTTTATGACATAACAATAACAAGTTTGGATGAGTCAGAAGTGGACCCAGTATCTTTATACACATATATTATGCTTTATAGACACATAAAATATATTTGAAGTAACGCAACAGGTGAACTTACTGTGGTTGGTTTTGAATATTTAATATAATCACTAAATAGTAAATGTCTGAGATTGACAGGAAATGCTTTCATCTTGTCTAATTTATTGCGTTTATTGTAAAACACAGAAGGAATTAAATTTTTGAGCCAAACTTTTCAGTTGTTGTGATGTGAAAAAGTCACAGTGTGGTGATAATAGATTGTTTTCGTTTATTTTTGTTTTATGCTTAAAAATGTAAATTGTATTGTTTTAAAATGAGGGAGTCCCAAATTTTCACCAGTGGGGGTCAGAGTGCAGTGTTTATGGTGGGCCGAGGGCCAAAAAGACAAAACAATAAACAATAAAAGAAGGTAGTTTTGAGTTTTTTTGTAATGTAAATCATGGCTGTATAATTTATTAATACATATTTTAAAATGAAAATAAGAATTTAATAAGTTATATATTGTAAATATATGTTTGTTCTCCCATTGCATGTGTATGTGTGTGTGTGTGTGTGGGGGGGGTGATTGAGCAATCCTGGGTTGAAAATTCACTTTTCTAATATTACTTTAACAGAACCTTATACATTGTAAACAGTGGACCAGAGCAAAATCTGATGTTGAAGTGTTTTGGAATTTTGAATTGATGTAAAACAATAATTTTGTTTGTCTTAACTGAAATTCTGCTTTGCTGCATTCAAAACATTTATTTGAGTTAAATGAAGCCAGTTAAACTGCATGATGCCACTTTTAAAAAAGATGGTTCTTCAAAGGTTCTTTAGTAAAGGGAGTTGTTCTATATAGAACCACGAACACTCAAAGATCCATTTGCATGCTTAAATGGTTCTCTACATGGTGAAATGGCTCTTCAGATTGGGGTGAAACGCTCTGTTTTAGAGAAACTTACCAGTCAGAATTGTTCACAGTGGTGGTGATAGGAACCAGGTGTCCACCTCTAAAAGCTCCCTCACAGAAAGTTCCTACATGAAACGGTTATGAATTCACTGCCTGATGACTGAGACACTGTTTTATGATAGTTTAGAGAACTTAAACTCCATTCATGGTGGAGGGATACATGCAGGGCGCTGTGAGGCAAAATAGTCCCCAAAGAAAACTTATTATTTCAGATTTTCCACTATTTTCCATCATCAACATTCCATATAAACTCAGAAGACTCGTGTAGGTTCTCTGGTGGTTCTGGATAGTAAATAAAATGTCTATATCTGTGTTGTAGTCATGGCGACCCCTGGTTCCTATCACCACCACTGTAAAGACATCAGAACCATTTCACACCAAACCACTCTGAATCTCTCTGTTTACATCTCATGAACTGAATTACGCAGAAAATTGTAGAAAAAATGGTGGAATTTGCTTTATAATAAAACTAGTTAAGCTGCTTGATATCATAATAAGCACTTTTGTAATGTTGAAGTGATTGAATAAGTTTACAATGCGCACTTTCTGTGTGTATCAACGTGTGTCTGTGTAAATGTGCTTATGTTTGCAGATCTGATATTTATTCTCTGCTTACTCACCTAATCATTAACCCGTAAGTTGAGATTTTGAAGGACACTCCACTGCTGGTTACAATCAATCACTTCACCCGAACCATCCAGAGACAGTACAACACTGTGAACAGTCCTCCAATCATGGGACACTTCTGGTTCTTTTCTGCTGAAACGTGGGCGCTCCTGCTGCTGTTTGTAAGCCTTTTGTTTCTGTAAGTAGATTCTCTGTAAAACACAACTAATAACACAGCTGCTCATCTCAGTTTTGCAAACGAACAGTGATGATTCATGAAAATAAGTGAACACATCCTCTACAAGGAACACACTTAAAAATGGCATTTTTCTGAAATTTGTAGAGCACAATTTACATATTTGAAAAGAATAAAACATAAAATGCAACCCCAATTTCAAATAAGTTGAGGCACTGTGTAAAATGTAAATAAATGTAAATAAAAACAGAATGCAATGATTAGCAAATCTCATAGACCTGTATTGTACTCACAATAGAACATACAACACATGTTAGACATTGAAAGTGAGACATTTTACTATTTCATGAAAAAAGTCTTCGTAATTTTACGTTGAGGAACATTTTTCTGAAATTGTTCCACAATTTTTAGACACGGTTTCTCTCAGATTGGTGAACTTCTGTCCATCTTTGCTTCTGAGACACTCTGCCTCCCTAAAATGCTCTTTTTATACCTGGTCATCAAGCTATTTGTTTTTTAGTAGTACCACTTACTTTTTAGCTTTATTTTCCAGTAAGTTTCTCTTTAGCAGAATATTTCACACCAATCCACTCTGAATGACTCTGTTTTGCATTCTGTTATGTAGATATTTAGGTAAATTGGTTGACGTCTGTATTGTGTTGTAAATGTGCAGGTATGGATATTGGCCCAACAGTTTCTTCAGAAAGTTAGGAGTTCCTGGACCCAAACCTCTCCCACTGCTGGGAAACATGTTAGAGTACAGAAAGGTGAGTTTATACAGGATAAACATTTTACTGTCTCTACACTCTTAAAAAAGATGGTTCTTCAAGGATTATTTCATAAAGACAATTGTTCTATATAGAATCACGAACATGCTTTGGGGTTTTTGTATGGTGAAATGCTTCTTCAGATTGATGGAGAATGTGTTGTACGTGGGGCGGCACGGTGGCGCAGTGGGTAGCACTGTCGCCTCACAGCAAGAAGGGCCTGGGTTTGATTCCCGGCCGGGTGACCAGGGTCATTTCTGTGTGGAGTTTGCCTGTTCTCCCCGTGTCTGTGTGGGTTTCCTCCGGGTACTCCGGTTTCCTCCCACGGCCCAAAGACATGCAGTCAGGCTGATTGGACATGCTGAATTGCCCCTAGGTGTGAATGTGTATGTCTGTCTGTCTGCCCTGTGATGGACTGGCGACCTGTCCAGGGTGTATCCTGCCTTCCGCCCAATGACAGCTGGGATAGGCTCCAGCACCCCACCGTGACCCAGAAGGATAAGCGGTTTAGATGATGTATGTGTTGTAGGTGGTTCTTTATAGAACCTTTTTGAAAATTATTCTATATAGCACCAAAAAGGTTATTCTGTTGTTACAAGCTCAACATCACAGTAGAAGAACCCTTTTTGTTGCAGTATAGAAACAATATAGAACAATATTATGAATGCTTTAAATTACAGAGTAAAAACTGTCAATTTAACTTAAGTTGCAAAACCTCTGTTGGTTCACAGATCAATGGTTCTTCAATGGTTCTTTAGTAAAGACAATGATTCTATGTAGAACCATGAACTCTCAGTTGCATGTGTTGCTTGTGGTTCTGTATAGAACCTTTTTGAAAATGGTTCCGTCCAGCACTATGCTTGAAAACATAACAACAGAAGAACCCTTTTTGGTGCTATCTAGAACCATACACAACACATTCTCCATCAATCTGAAGAACCATTTTACCAAGCAAAGAACCATTTAATCATGGTTCCATCCAGGATTCATCGTTCTAAATAGAACCATTGCCTTTACTAATAAACCCTTCTAAGAACCATCTTTTTAGTGTATTTCAGTGGGATAGTTATTATTTCATGTAGTTATTATTCAATATTTATTTCTGTACATGTAATTTGATCATTTCAGGGTTTCCATGTGTTTGATATGGAGTGTTTTAAAAAGTATGGCGGGATTTGGGGGTAAGTACATATTCTTCATTATAGCTTTTACCCTCTTACATGTAATAAAGGTGCTAAACAGAACCAAAAAAGTCCCCTATCAATAGAGGATTTTTAACCCCTTAAGATCTTAGGCTTATTACGTTCTAAGGCTTATTATCCAGTAACTACAGGGGCTTCGATGCAAACTGGCTGAGCTATTCTCAGATTATAGAAGTGTGTAATAAAACTGGCCATTTAAGGGAATCAAGAACTAAATAGAACCAAGGATTTTTCCTAGAACTGCACATCTAAGCTAGGAACCATTCAGGAACCTGCATGTTAAAAGGAGACGTACTATGCTCATTTTCAGTGTTCCTTATTTTATTTTTTGTTCTACTAGAACAGATTTACAGCTTCAATGTTCCAAACACACATTATTTTCCTCATCCTGTTCATCTCTATTCACCCTCTGTCTGAAACGCTCTGTTAGAGCTCCTGTGTCTTTAAGCCCCTCCTCCCGATGAGCCCAGTGTGCTCAGATTGGTCAGCTCACCCACTCTGCCATAGCCACAGCGGTTCCGCCCCTCCAGTCCTGCAGTCTGCAGACAGACCCTTCTCTCCTTAGCAGCTGTAAACTCCGCTGTGGCTGTTTCTCCAGTGGCGTCGTTTCTGCTGTATCATCCAGAGTGGATCCTGAAAGTCCGGTCAGCGTCTCTCCACACGCTACAGCACTGGACACACTTTTCCTCCTCCAGTAGCCGCTGTGTGCTGTGTGAGGGGGCGGAGCTCGCCGGTAGGCGGGCAGTAAGGACTGTGTTACGAGATGATGTCATCCTGTAACAAAGGAAAAGGGCTGGAATTCCAACATGGCGTTTCAGGCAGCTGAGAAAAGTGGGTTCTGTGGGAGAGAGTTTCTCCCTCTAGAGGGAACGCTGAGCTTTGGGACCTTGCAGAACATTTACATCCACAAAAAGATACAACATAATAAAGGAAAGAGAAAAAATGGAAAAGCATTATAGGGCCTCCTTTAACTGTCTGTGTAATGAACAAATTCACAGTAATTATTCAGTACCGACTCCTGAGTGATGCCGTAGAAGAACCACTTTGGGTTCCCTAACAATCATGATTGAAAAAGAGATTTGTGAGTGTGAGAAATCTTTTAAAGGTTCACATAATGTACCTGTTTAAGGGTTAGAATCTGGAACCTTTACATTACATGGAAGTGCTTTAAATTCTAATTTAAAAAGGTTCCTTATATTCACATTTCTCATTTACAAAAGGGTTCTCCAAAGTTTCTTCTGGGAACCAAAATTGTTTCTTCTTTGGAGTCACCCAAAGAACCCTTTTTGAAACCTTTATTTTGGAGAGCGTTGGGGTTGTTTAGAGGATTGTTGTTGATGTTGAACTCTGTGCAGAACGCAGCGAAGAACACAAACAAAATTGAACCGGGGCACATCAGGGTTGGAGTTCAGTCATAGACATCTGTGGACAGTTGTGGACATTCAATAACTTTGCCTAGAACCAGTTCTGTTTACAGGAACATTTTACCGGATGGCTCCTTAGAGAACCATTTCTAAAAAACTGAGATGTGTGAGTGTGAAGAATCTTTTAAAGATAAAGTGTAAAGGTTCTACAACATTTAGAGTTTATTTTGCTGGAACTGTGTTCTAAGCCAAGAACCATTCAAGAACCTTCATATTTAAGATTGTGTTTCTGCTACAAGTTTCATTTCTGTAATTAATCTGTTTTTTTTTTCAGGATATATGAAGGGAGAACACCCTTACTCTGTGTTCTAGACAGAACCATCATTAAATCAGTGCTCGTTAAAGAATGTTACTCACTCTTCACCAACAGACGGGTAAGAATAGAATAATTATCCCTATAAACGTTTAACCTCATCATCTGTGATGACATCAACAGATGTCACATCCTTTCAGACCCACAGCGCTGAGTCTTCTTCTCACAGTGGATGTTTGATGGATGTTTTGACTGCAAATGATATTAATAAATGGTCTCTGACCTTTGAACAGTACTGCAGATCTACTAAATCTATTAGGATATTTTCTAGAACATTTACATGACCAATGTTTACATATGCCATTCTTTTTATGTAATTAATTTTAATATATTTGCAGCTCACGTCAGTGCTTTGAGATTTGAGAAAATGCATGTAAAAAGAAAAATTCATTATTGCAGAAGTTAAATATTAAAAGTTAGCGCTTTAGCGCTTACATTGTAAGAGTGTTTTGAAGTTTTTGACCCCTGTTCTGTTTATGTAAACCTGACCTTTCACCCTGTGTGCTTTTATTCTGTAATGTGGTCAGGATCTTGGTCTGAACGGTGAGCTGTATGACGCCCTGTTTGTGACCACAGATGAGGACTGGAAGAGAATCCGAGGAGTTCTTTCCCCCTCTTTCACCAGCGGAAGACTGAGGGAGGTGGGATTAACACTAATTTACAGTGGTGTTAACACTAATTAGCACTAAAATTAACACTAATTAACAGTAATTAATATTTACACTAATTTACACAGATTTACTTAGTTACACTAATGTTCTGTAACCAAAACAAAACAACTTATTTACACTAACACAAATGTATACTAATTAACAAATTAACAAATGTATACAAATTAGCACAAATTTACACTACTTAACACATTTATACAAATTAACAAAACTTTACAGTACATAATGCATTGATACAAATTAGAACAAATTTACACTACTCAACACAAATTTAGCACAAATTTACACCACATAACACATTTATACAAATTAGCACAAACTTACACTGCTCAACACAAATTTATGCAAATTAACACAAATTTACACTGCTCAACACACATTTATGCAAATTAACACATTTACACTACATAACACATTTATACAAATTGGCACAAATTACACAAATTAACATAAATTTACACAAATTAACACAAATTTATATAACTTCATACAAATTCTCATCACTTAAAGCATTATACAAATTTGCATAAATGTACTCCACTCAACACAAAGTTACACTAATAAACACAAACATTTAATGCAAGTTTTATATTACATGAAGTTTTATGTAAGTTCTTCATTTACAAACCAATGTAAACAAAAACATAAACCTGCAACTGATGAATACATTTTAAGACAAGTGATTAACTTGCCAGTTTGTGCATCAGTGGGTCAGTTTGTGGGTCAGTGGGTCAGTTGGTGGATCAATGGGTCAGTTGGTGAATCAGTGAGTGGATGGATGTTTGCTGTGCCTCTCTAGATGTTTGGGATCATGAAGACACATTCACAAACTTTGGTTAGAAACCTGGAGAAGAAAACGAAGCAAACAAGTGGAGTTCATGTTAAAGAGTAAGTATCAGATTATTATTATTATTATTATTATTATTATTATTATTATAATTATTATTATTACTATTATTATAATCATCATCTCAGTAGAATGGTTCTGAAAGGTTAATTAAAAGATTCTGCAGACATTCTGATGGCCGTAGCCTCACTCATTCAGCCTACAGCAGTTTAGAGAACTCCAGCTCCGGCGCTGAGCTCAGTGTTTATCCTGGTGTGACATGATGTAGTGTTGTTATATGTGCTGTGTTATGCTGTTGGTATGTTGTGTTATGTTGTTGTTCTAAGCTGTGTTGTGTATGTGCAGGTTGTTTGGAGCGTACAGTATGGACGTGATAACCAGCTCAGCGTTCAGCGTCGACATCGATTCTCTAAACAACCCCAAAGACCCGTTTGTGACGAACGTGAAGAAATTGCTGGATTTTGATTTTTTCAAGCCGACGTTCCTCATTGCAGGTAGTTCAGCTCATTTCCTTTTCCTTTACCTTTTAATTCATGTGAGAAAAGAAGAGCACAGTGATTAAAAGTGTTGCTGTTTTTTTCTATAGCTGTATTCCCATTTGCCATACCTCTGCTGGAGAAAATGGATTGTGGTTTCTTCCCTACATGCGTGTTTGATTTCTTCTTTACTGTCCTGCAGAAGATCAAGGCTGATCGAGTGGCCAAAGACCACAAGGTACATTAAAGAAAAAATGATCTTAATGAGCTAAATAGGTTTCATTCATACCTATTATTGTGTTTTTCAGTAATAATACCGTCTTAAATAAATATTTACAGACATGCTGGATGGTTCATGCCAACAAAGAATCTTGGTTATTTGTTGCTGTTAAAGGATGTTGATATCATATCTTCATATTTTGTTTCTTGCAAGCTTTACATATACTGTAGCGACCAGCTGCTGGCTGGTGCTGGCTTCTAGATGCTCATGAGATGTGGCCATGCTGATAGCCACACCAGGACGGTTGTGGGAGGCGCGCGTCGTCTGGAAAAGGAACTTGTTAATGTTACTGTTCATCAGTTAAGTGTATGTGGTATGTGTTTATTGTATTATTTTGTGTTGGGGGTTGGTCATAGTGAAGGTGAGGTGTATGGTTATTTGTGACCTCCTTACGTGTACCTTTCCACCCTGGTGTTTAATAAAGAGCACTTCTCATGGTGGAATCATGGCCTCATGCCGACACCACACTGGTGTCAGTGGTGGGATAGCCCTTGGATAACTTGGGCCGGCGGGTCAATAGATGCCAACATGGAGGTTCAGCAGCAGCTGCAGGCCATGTGTCAAGTGTAGTGTGGACAGCAGACGGATAATCACACTCGCCATCACAGGCTTGGTGATATCCCCACTGCAACTAGGGGTCCTTACACACACCGAGAGCGGTACATCAAATGGCTGGAAGGCATCCATCCTCCAACTCAAGTCAGTCACCAGTGACGGAGGCAGGGCCCCAGCACACACAAGCAGAACACATGAGAGCATTGATGACATGGTGGGCGGGGGAGAGAGTGAATGGCGGACAGCTGGATTGCTGGTGTTGCTGTCATAGCCCCCAGCTGCTGACCGGGCGTTGGTGCTCTGTGGGAAGTTTCCTCACATACAGGAGGAGGCACAACAGCAAGAGCGCAGCCTTGAGAGAGGACTGAGGGTGCCAAGGAGCTTTTGTGTTGGCTGGAACTTTGTACATGCTGAGGGACTTGGCTCGAGCTGGTAGGTCTTTGGGGACAGTCAACCTTTGAAGGGGGGGCTACGTAGTGACCTGCTACTGGCTGGCATTGGCCTCTAGACACTCATGAGGAAGATCATGGGAGGTGTGCACCCTCTAGAAAAGAGAGTATTTATGTTGTTTATGTTTCTGTTCTTCAGTAAAAGGTATGTGGTGTGTGGTTACTGTATTGTTCTATGTCAGGGAGTGGATTTAGCTAGTGTGGGTTGGTGTTCACCGTGTGGTGTACAGTTGGTGGTGGCCAACTTCTCGTGGAGGCATCATGGCCTCCCCTGTGTCTTACTCCATGTCGATGCCACTATATACATATGCAGTCCCTTTCTAGCTTTTCGTGTAGTAAGTATTTCCAGGATCTGTGAGCTAATGACCTTTTTTTCTGTCCATCACTTCCTGTAGAGCAGAGTGGACTTTATGCAGCTAATGGTGGATTCTCAAACACCAGAGAAAGTAGAAGCTCAACAAGGTGAGGAGATAAAGAAAGGTAATACTTTATCAGTTTAGAATGCCGCCTGACTGACCACCTGCACATAATATTTTCTGGAAATAGTGTTTTTGTGCCAGATTGATAGATTGATTTTTGGTCTTAAAATGGGAGCTATGGAAGCTTTTGAAATGTTGATTTTTGAAGCATAAAACTTTCAGAGAATATTATTTGGTTTATGAACTGAGAATATTGCTTTTTTTTGCTTTTTTTTTTTTTGCTTTGGAACAAATTTGACTCTCTATATTTCCACAATTAGGCATATTACCCCTACTGAAATAAAACATTAGGACCATTAGAATTAAACCTGGTGATTTTGCTTTCTATTAGGAACTGGCTTAATGGTTAGAATTAGATACCACTAGTTTCCTGTAGGACACCTTTAGATCCCATTAGGAAACCACCAGAAACATCTGTAATCATAACCTCTCTTAAAATAATTAGAATCCTTTACACTATATGAACCAATATCTGGAAAAAACTAAATACCATTAGTGACTATTCGACACCACCAGGAAACAACAGAAACTTTCAAAGTTTTCTCAGATTTCTTTCAGATTTTTGATCTTCAGAAGGGACATTTTTCACATTTTGATATTTATTACTTCATTACAATAACACCTTTTTGCCATTTAGATATTAATGTTAACATAATAAAGGCTTCTGATTTGTGAAAGATTTAAAAGGGAAACCATCAAATATCCGGCCTACATTTCTAATGCATGAGGCTCACCTGTGACAAAATTTACCAAAAAAGCATTTTTTTAACAATGCCTGCCGTTAAAAAGAGCACATTTCAGTATATAATAAATGTACCAGACATGACACTTGAATCTTGAATTAAACAAGCTTAAAATTCTGCACACTATCTATTAGACACAATGACATTATTTCCCAAAGTAAAATATGAGATGGTCTACAAGGAACCTTTCCTGAAATCTGGTGATTTGAGGCAGATTTACAGAGCGACTGTTACGTTACTGGCTTTAGATACAGAAAAAATATCCTCCTTGTTTTTGTGTATGTTTTACCTCTGAAGGTCTGAGTGATCATGAGATTTTATCTCAGTCCTTGATCTTCATCTTTGCTGGTTATGAGACGAGTAGCAGCACTCTGTCCTTCTTCTTCTACAACATGGCCGCCAACCCAGAAACGATGAAGAAACTTCAGGAAGAGATCGACCAGACCTTTCCAGATAAGGTGACTAACACTGAGTCCTTTTACAAATTCACCAAAATAAAGAACAAAAACTGTGGAAACAAGAAAAAACACTACTGAAACCATCAACTGAAAAATTTTTATTACATGTCTAGAACCAATGATGAAAAGTCTTAAGGACCAAGTACAAACCCCTGTGGAACCCCACAAGCGATAATGACTGATAGACTACTAGTTGTGTAATAAAATAAAAATAATTAATCATAAGTGATGCAACACTTTTTGGATGAACTTTAGACTCACAGTCACATGCTAAACACCACTAGTCAAAAATATGTTGACATATGTGTTGAAATCCTCCACAGAGAGCACAATAAAATATGGCATTCTGTAAATATTACTGTACAATTTCTGTTTATTTGCTGAGTTTAACATATTGCGATAAAATTAAGTTATATGTATATATACACTTATATTTTCTAGTTACAGTTGTATTGTATAGTATTGTATACTATTTTATGCCATATGTTTTCTTATCCTAATTTACTATTTTTACCTTATTATGTATGTATTCTGTGTTGGTCTTATGCTGCTGGAACAATCTAATTTCCCTTTGCGGCATTTATAAAGTGTTATCTCACAATAAAATGTCAGTGTCAACAGAACATGGAGTTTGAACAGGGGCTCCAACATTTTTAGACTTAGCCATAAATGCTTCACTCAAGGGCACACTGCCAGCAATCTGAGAAAGGGTCAGGACATTAGCATATGTTGTTGCAATAAATGAGAAAAGCCATAGAACCTTTGAGACTTTTGGTACTCCAGAGGTTCTCCCAAACCAACAAGGCCTCAGTGTTTTCTCTTGAGTCACTAACATAAAAATATATCCTGAATATTCTTACTAATTGTGTCTGAACAACCTTGCTAGCACTGACTGTGTCTTGTTCGTCTTTAGGCTCCAGTTCAGTATGATTCAGTGATGAGTATGGAATATCTGGACGCTGCTCTGAATGAATCTCTGAGGTTGTACCCCATCGCTGCTCGGCTAGAAAGAATCTGCAAGAAAACTGTGGAGATTAACGGTGTGACTATCCCCCAGGGAACGACCGTCATGATCCCCACATATCCCCTTCACAGAGACCCTGAATACTGGCCTGATCCCAATTCCTTCAACCCTGAGAGGTAGAAACTGCTGTTATCCTGTTAGTTTACTGCCAAGCTGTGCAGCCTAGACTTACTTAAATAAAACCTTTTACTTCATATACATGCAATTTGTAGCTGCAAACATATGTGCATCAGTGAGATCCTGCTGGTGTGGGTTTCCTCTAATCCATTGATGCTCACAAAGTGATTTGAGTGCAAACAGCTTCATCTAACAGTGAATCCTTAGTCTGTCAAACATGGCTTTATAACGAACTACAAATACCTTGTTTATTTCTAAGCAATTTCATTGAGAATGTACATTTTAATTGCTTATTTTTTGTTTATGTAACCAATTTTAATTGAGTCATTGTGAGAAATTTGTGACTACAGTAAATAGACTTTGTTTTCCCCTCCTGTGTAGGTTCACTAAGGAGAATAAGGAGAGTATAGACCCCTATGCCTTCATGCCTTTCGGTGCAGGACCCAGGAACTGTATCGGAATGAGGTTTGCTCTGGTGTCCATGAAGCTGGCCATCGTAGAGATACTGCAGAGATTTGACATCAATGTTTGTGATGAGACGAAGGTTAGATCATCTAAAGCTAATCATTTACTTGTTAAACGTTAATAATCCATCTGTCTGAGTTCTGCCCAAAAATGTGTTGTTGCGTAAATACTATTGTGAGATCAAGACAAGAATGCATTCAGCCTAATGAGAAAACTGTAGAACAGACTCAGTTTATATCACAATACCTACATTTAGAGTCGGTTATTCATTCAGCCTAATGAGAAACTGTAGAACAGACTCAGTTTATATCACAATACCTACATTTAGAGTCGGTTATTCATTCAGCCTAATGAGAAACTGTAGAACAGACTCAGTTTATACACAATACCTACATTTAGAGTCGGTTATTCATTCAGCCTAATGAGAAACTGTAGAACAGACTCAGTTTATATCACAATACCTACATTTAGAGCCGGTTATTCATTCAACCTAATGAGAAACTGTAGAACAGACTCAGTTTATATCACAATACCTACATTTAGAGTCGGTTATTCATTCAGCCTAATGAGAAACTGTAGAACAGACTCAGTTTATATCACAATACCTACATTTAGAGTCGGTTATTCATTTGCCAATGAGAAACTGTAGAACAGACTCAGTTTATATCACAATACCTACATTTAGAGCCGGTTATTCATTCAACCTAATGAGAAACTGTAGAACAGACTCAGTTTATATCACAATACCTACAATAGATCATACCTATGTAGAAAGCCAGTAATACAATTCCAGCGTAGACAGCTAGGTAGCCAGTGTTGGCTATGACGTTAACTTACAGCTCTAATACAGCTGACACTGTTGAAATTTCAGCTCAGCCTATCAAAATCATATATTTTTCCTTAAAAACCTAGATAGTACAACAATAAACCTGAAATTAATAACATTTTTTAATTGTTTACTTAGAATTAATTCTAATGCTAGTGTTATATATATAAATGCTTACCCAGTTTTCCAGTACTGCATATATATTTCTGTTAAAAATTACAATTATAATGTGAATAATCTCTGTTTGTTCTTGTTGATTTTTGTAGGTGCCATTGGAGTTGGGTGTCGGTGCTTTCCTGGCTCCTAAAGACCCCATCCAACTCAACTTCACCCCTCGAGCTAACTCCAAATCAGGCTAACCTGTCCCAGCTTTGTCCTAAAGGCGGATTCTAACTGCAGGGAGATTCACTCGAAAGAGGCCCCAAATATTCTGTTATAACTCTCGCTAGGACAAAGCAATCTGAATGAAACAATGTGCAATGAGCATCGGAGCGATGATGTAGGCGCCGGACAGCCGTTGCGACATTTAACCTACGTTTGCAACTTCTGGGTGCAGACCCCCATACCCCTTCACTCAGTCACTCGACTTCTCATCCAGAGAGTGCTGTATAGTGTTGAGCTGCACGGCAAGATATGTAGCGTATTTTTTTGGTTCAGATTGCTTCATCCTAATGGGAGTTACAACAGAATAATTGGGGGCTCTTTCAAGTGAATCTCCCTGTAGTTTTGGAGTATATAGTATGTTAACAAGTATCAGATTCAAGTATAATCATACTAAAAACATACTTACAGTCTGTTGATTTTTGAGTACGTTGTTGATGGACATAGTGTGAATGTAAAGATGAGAAGGAGGAGCTACTTAAAGCAGGAAATATTGGAAAACTAGGAGGATGTTAAATTGAATGCTAGCTAGTGAACAAGGTCAAGTTGGAACTGTAAAATTAGTAAACAAAGCAGCGCTGCTCTTCTCAAATATGTAGTGTAAAAAGAACAGCTAATGAAAACCAAAAATAAACTAATGCACGCAGAACAGAAGTGCTCTTGTTTAAAATGAACGATAGTTCCACAAGATGGTCTTGGCTTAGTTTGGTACTTTTGCACTTGGTGGACCCAACTGGAAATTGTGCACTGCCCCCTGTGAACACTACTTTGGGATAAGTTCTGCTATGAATCACAAGACCAACACCTTCATGAGGAGGAAGAAGGACTGAGATGGACAGAGTGACTATTTTCAGGAAATAATAATAAATATCAAACATCACAACATTTTAGCGTCACTGTCACTCAGCATGGGGCGTAAGCGTGCACTGTTATGCAGATGATAAAATGCAGTTTTGGTGATGAGCTTAATGTGAGACTCAAAAGTGAGAGATGAATCAAGAAGACAGTCAAGGTTCTTAACAAACTAAGCTGGCTTAATATCAACACAATCAATGTTGACTGAAAAGTTAAATACAAAAGCTGCTGTTAAATCTAAAAGAATCAGGATGTTAAGAAATCCAGCATCTGTAGGCAGCAGCAAGTCATCTACAACTTTTACAAGGGCAGACTCAGTACTGTGTAGGGTGCGGAGGTCAGACTGAAAAGGCTCATTTAGGTTACTGGAGGATAGAAAGTCATGCAGCTGAGAGGCTACAACCCTTTCCATAACTTTAGCTAAGAAAGGGAGATTGGAGATTGGTCTGTAGTTGGCCAGAGATGATGGGTCCAACCCAGGTTTCTTTAGGATAGGAGTGACAGCAGCTATTTTGAGAGATGGAGGAACACTGCCTAATGAAAAGCATAGATTAATCATATGAGCCATAAGAGGTGCAATAACAGAGGAAGTGGACTTAAGAGTGGCCGTAGGAGCAGGATCTAGTTGAGATGTACAGGAAGAGGATTTGGAAATAATCTCAGACACGGTGGAAGAGTTCACAGGGGAGAAAACAGAGAGACAATTATCAGGTGAGAGTGAAACAGAGGCCTGAGAAAGAGAAGTGCCGGTGGCTACAGGGAAATGCAGATAGATCTTATTAATTTTATCCAGAAAAAAAATCCAAAAATGCTCGACACTGGGCAGAGGAGTTCAAGGTGGGTAGTGAAGGAGGCTGAAGAAGTTTGTTTATAGTATTAAAGAGAGTTTTGGGCCTGTGACTGCCAGAGTTTATAAGGTCAGAATAGAAAGAGGAGCGGGCAGTGTTTAATGCAGCTTTATATATGGAAACCTGCTCAGTAAAAAGTGTGAAATGAACTGAAAGACCAGTTTTCTTATACAGGCGCTCTAAACGCCTAACTTCAACTTTCATGATTCTAACTTCTGGAGTGAACCATGGTGAAGTACGAGTAGCAGGAACACATCAAGTCTTGAGAGGGGCAAGAGTATTGAGTATTTCAGAGATAGTGCTATTGTAGCATGTGACAAATTCTTCAGGAGAGGACAGCGGAGTAAGATCAGAAAGAGCAGAGGTCTGGAGAAGTTTAGAGAAGGTATTAGTGGCAACAGAGATAAGATTACGAAAGGAGACAGTAGATTTGTTGTAGGATTTAGGGGGGCTAAACCAAGACCACACTCAATGAGCTTATGGTCAGAGAAACCAACAACAGAACCAGAAACTGAGACATCATTTAAACCGTGGGTGACCTTGAATATGTCTTGGGAAATCAACATGCTGAATCACTCTAAAGCATGTGATGCCTTGTTGGTAATAGAACAAGAGTTCAAAAGGCCTATTTTCACAGGAAATGTTCCAATGGAGGAGTAAGTGCTAGATTGTGCAAGAGGGCAAAAATGATCACGAATGATTTCACGTGTCTGTTTATGATCCTTAATGATCTGCCTCTGTGACCAAATAACCAGAATGTGTGTATATGAGGCACGGTGAGAAATATGGAAGCACCAGGACCGGTGAATATACCTAGGTTGGCGCGTAAACCCAAGACTCTGACATAAATTAAATGTCGAGGGGGCCAGACGAGCATGAGTGTTAAAACTTTTTAGTTCAGTTCTTGAATATGTAATCATCATGAAAAATAATGTCCAAAAAACAATAATCCACATCCAAGAACAGCCAGTCAGTCGTAAACCAAGGCAAGGCATGATGACTTATCCAGCAGGCTTGATAGAGAACCACAGCATGCACTACCACTAACACCACCAAAGCACGTTAGCCAGACCAATGACCCCAACCCAGCAATTTGAGTACAGGAAAGTGAAAACTGCCCAGTACCTCAGATTAAACGACAGAATTTAGTGAGGGGTAGAAACTCACTCACCGCAGCTGCAGTCGAGGGGTAGGAGGAAGAAGGGAGAGGGCTGTGGTTAGCAGGCAGTGGAAAGTGGTATATAGCCATGGGAGAACGTCTGACGTGAAACCAGACAATGATCGAGATCCAGAGAGCAGAGAAGCCAAAAATGAAAAAAAAAAATGCTCCTCAGAACTCGGCGACCCGCTCTGTAACTTTACGTGGTCTGACACTTCGTGGCTGAGCTGCTGTGGTTCCTAAACGCTTCCACTTTTCAATAATACACTCACAGCAGGTTGTGGAAAATCCAGAAGGGAAGAAACTTCACAAACTGACTTGTCGGAATGGTGACATCCTATTACAGCACCACGCTGGAATCCAGTGAGCTCTTTAGACCCATTCTTTCACTAATGTTTGTAAAGGCAGGCTGCATGGCTATGGGCTTGGTTTTTCGGTATTTGATTTTTAGGTATTTTTCCATGTGTAATAAAGATTTCTGAATCCACCAATAAAAAAGAAAAGAAAATCAAGCATTGATCAAATTATATGAAATTACCAACAACCTCCCAGCTGACCACCTCAGATTTGATCAATAACTCAATAAATTTAGATGCACATCTTTATTAGTTTCAGAAACATTGAGGCTTAATTTTACCTCAAAAAAGTGCTATGAAAAAAGGTATACATTTATATAAATTATAACTTCTGAACCATTGAAGTTATTTGTATGAAATTTGAAGCTTTTATTCTTGTTAGTTTTGACCATGTTAAACAACCAGAACAGAACCAAACAGGAGCTGCTAGTTAGCCATTTAATGTACAATCAAAAAATTGTACTAACTTTGTTTGTCCCTCTGTATCTCCACACTGATGTACGTCAGATCATTAACATTATGATATTTGTTACTCATGTCAAAGTACTTTATTGCCAATGAGGTAATCATCATAAAGTAATAAAGGGCTCTGATTTATGAGTTGTTTACAAATAAGAACAATCATAATTTTTCTCTCTTCAGATGCTTTTTGTGTAAAATGCTAAAGCCCTAAAGTGAGCAGAGGGATCATCAATAAAGCAGAACATGAGCTGAACCAGCACAACAGAATGAAATTAAACCCAAACGTTTATTTCACTGCATCTTTATCTGCAGCACTGATTCATGTGTTCCTGAAGGAAGTCCATGTTTGAAAGATTAACTTATGAAACTCATTCATTCACATGAGTGAGCAGATAAACACACAAATGACACAGATTGATTGTATAATTTGGAATTAAAATGAAATTAATATTTGTCCCAATGAACTGTCACTTAGATACACAAAGGACAAAGTTTGTGGAGGCATTCCTGCCTTAGATAAAGCCACTTACATAACTTCATTATCATAAACATGTATCGCTGCTGTCAGAAGAAAACCTAGGATCTTCATTTTTATTTTGTAGTTTTTTTTTTTACAGAATTTAAGAATTCTAACCAGCCTCTGTAGTGTGAATGAATAAATGAATCAATAGAAAAGATCCAGAATTACTTGAAAAAAAAATCTAGTTCCATTAAACTTTCATTCAAATTTAATAATGTTTTTTCCTTATCCTGTAAAATGACCATTTTGGAGATACGAAATATTGTTCCAACAGATATATTTACGACATAACAATAACAAGCATGTATACATGAGAAATACACCCAGTATTTTTGTAGAACTGTCAGTTTTACACTATAATATACTTAAATGTTTTTGAAGTAGTTCTGTAAATGTTCATAACAGGGTGGACATAGTTTGGAAAAAGTGTATATAATCACTAAACCATAAACACCTAAGTGTTTATGGTAAATCATTTAAAAATTTGACCCAAAGTGTTCAGTTGTTGTGATTTGAAAAATAAAAGACAAAACTAAATCTGGTGATGGTAAGTCAATTGTTTGTTTATCTTTAAAAAATGTAATTGAACCTAGTTGTTTTTATTTTGTCTTTGGAGGCCAAAGTGCAGTGTTTGTGGAGGCCGAGGGCCAAAAAGACAAAACAAATAAAGTAAACAAATACAGAAGACTGGTAGGTTTTAAAATTAAGTTTTAAAAATGTGTTTTATAAACTGGCACTATATTTCAAAAAACATACATTTAAAAGGAACATAAGAATTTGTTTACAGTGCGTATCAATGTGTGTCTGTATAAATGTGTGTATGTGTGCAGATCTGATATTTACTGTCTGTTTACTCACCTAATCATTAAACTGTAGGCTGAGCTTTTAAAGGACGCTCCACTGCAGTTTACAGTCACTTTAACTGAACCGTCCAGAGAAACTGCAACACTGTGGACAGTCCAGCAATCATGGGGTACATCTGGTTCTTCTCTGCTGAAACGTGGGCGCTCCTGCTGCTGTTTATAAGCCTTTTACTTCTGTAAGTACCTTATAATCATTATTTGTGTATCAAGTACATAAACAACTACACTTGTGGTTGTCTCAGTGTTGTAAACTCTTTTAACATAATGGGGAAAAAAGGAAAAAAAAGAAGAGGTTCCATAACTTTCACACAAGCCACATTTTTATTTACAATGTGTCAAATACAGTAAATAAGCAGTAATTATGTATTAAAATGTAAAGAAGTGTGGTCTCTGTAGAGGATGTATTGACTTATTGTCACTTAGAAAAGCAGGGGTGCCCAAACTTTTGCATGTTCAGTAGTTTTCGTTTTTTTTGTCTGTTTTTTGTCATGTTTAGTACTTTTCTACCATAGAAACAATATATTTTATCTACTGTGAAACCTATTTAAAAGACTACTGTGTCTTTTCCACAGCCAAACATTGCATATTTGCCTACAGCTTTAAATGTTATTATTTATGTTATGGTTTGGCATGAAAAGGTTGAGTTTAGAGACCCAGATTTCTTTACAGTGTTGGTGATAGGAACCAGGGTCACTATGCCTACAACACAAATATAGCATTCAACCTAATGACAAACTATATACAGTATCTCACAAAAGTGAGTACACCCCTCACATTTCTGCAAATATTTTATTATATCTTTTCATGGGACACACTGTAGAAATGAAACTATGATATGACTTAAAGTAGTCAGTGTACAGCTTGTATAGCAGTATTTACTGTCAGTATTTACAGATATACTGTCCTCTGAAAATAACTCAACACACAGCCGTTAATGCCTAAATAGCTGGCAACACAAGTGAGTACAACTCACAGTCAACATGTCCAATTGTTTCGTTGTCCATCCCTGGTGTCATGTGACAAAGAACTCTCTGAGGAAATAGAAATAGAAACAGAATTGTTGCTCTCCACAAAGATGGTCTAGGCTATAAGAAGATTACTAACACCCTGAAACTGAGCTATAGCACGGTGGCCAAGGTCATACAGCGGTTTTCCAGGACAGGTTCCACTCGGAACAGGTCTCGCCAGGGTCGACCAAAGAAGTTGAGTCCATGTGTTCAGCGTCATATTCAGAGGTTGGCTTCAAAAAATAGACGCATGAGTGCTGCCAGCATCGCTGCAGAGGTTGAAGAAGAGGGAGGTCAGCCTGTCAGTGCTCAGACCATACGCCGCACAATGCATCAACTCGGTCTGCATGGCCGTCGTCCCTGAAGGAAGCCTCTTCTAAAGCTGACGCACAACAAAGCCCAGAAACAGTTTGCTGAAGACAAGCAGTCCAAGAACATGGATTACTGGAACCACGTCCTGTAGTCTGACAAGACCAAGATAAACTTATTTGGCTCAGATGGTGTCCAGCATATGTGGCGGCGCCCTGGTGAGGAGTACCAAGACAACTGTCTCTTGCCTACAGTCAAGCAAGGTGGTGGTAGCATCATGGTCTGGAGCTGCATGAGTGCTGCCAGCACTGGGGAGCTGCGGTTCATTGAGGGAAACAACTGCCTTGCTGAAGGTAAAGGTGATGGACTGGCCAAGTATGTCTCCAGACCTAAACCCAATTGAGCACCTGTGGGTCATCCTTAAGTGGAAGGGGGAGGAGCGCAAGGTGTCTAACATCCACCAGCTCTGTGATGTCATCATGGAGGAGTGGAAGAGGATTCCAGTAGCAACCTGTGCAGCTCTGGTGAATTCCATGCCCAAGAGGGTTCAGGTAGTGCTAGATAATAATGGTGGTCACACAAAATATTGACACATTGAGCACAATTTGGACATGTTCACTGTGAAGTGTACTCACTTGTGTTGCAGGCTATTTAGACATTAACGGCTGTATGTTGAGTTATTTTCAGAGGACAGTAAATCTATACTGCTATACAAGCTGTACACTGACTAAGTTATATCCAGGTTTCATTTCTATATTGTGTCCCATGAAAAGATATAATAAAATATTTGCAGAAATGTGAGGGGTGTACTCACTTTTGTGAGATACTGTATGTATATACATATATATACATACACACACACACACACACACACATTATATTGCCAAAAGTATTCACTCACCCATCCAAATCACTGAATTCAGGTGTTCCTAAAATGACAGAGCGGGGTCAGTGGATGCTGAGGCGCATAGTGCGCAGAGGTCGCCAACTTTATGCACTGTTCTTGAGCTAATCTGAAGGCCACATGAAGTTTGGAGGTCTGCAGCAATTGACTCTGCAGAGAGAGCTTCATGGAATGGGTTTTCATGGCCGAGCAGCTGCATCCAAGCCTTACATCACCATACGCAATGCAAAGCGTCAAATGCAGTGGTGTAAAGCGCCGCTGGACTAGAACAGTGGAGACGCGTTCTCTGGAGTGATGAATCACACTTCTCCGTCTGGGAATCCGATGGACGAGTCTGGGTTTGGCGGTTGCCAGGAGACGGTACTTGTCTGACTGCATTGTGCCAAGTGTAAAGTTTGGTGGAGGGGGGATTATGGTGTGGGGTTGTTTTTCAGGAGTTGGGCTCGGCCCCTTAGTTCCAGTGAAAGGAACTCTTAATGCTTCAGCCCCAAGAGATTTTGGACAATTTCATGCTCTCAAATTTGTGGGAACAGTTTGGGGACGGCCCCTTCCTGTTCCAACATGACTGCACATCAGTGCATAAAGCAAGGTCCATAAAGACATGAGTTTGGTGTGGAAGAACTTGACTGGCCTCACCTCCTGACCTCAACCCGATAGAACACCTTTGGGATGAATTAGAGTGGAGACTGCGAGGCAGGCCTTCTCGTCCAACATCAGTGTCTGACCTCACAAATGCACTTCTGGAAGAAGGTCAAATATTTCCATAAACACTCCTAAACCTTGTGGAAAGCCTTCCCAGAAGAGTTGAAGCTGATATAGCTGCAAAGGGTGGGCCGAGAAGAGAAGAGAAGAGATATAGATATGCAAGTATAAATATAATATACATATATACAGTGTGAGTGGAGAGCATACAATGAAGGTAGTATGTCCTGTGGGAGAAGCATACGTAAAAGTATGCAGAGTAAACTTATACAGTAACTGTTGGTGCAAATATGAATAGTGCAGTAATAGACTGTGCAAATATGAATAGTGCAATAATACTAGGATATGAAGTACAATACAGTGCAGTGAGTGCAAAGATATGGTTAAAGTGATGGTGTAGAGGTCAGCAGGGTCACAGCCTCGAGGAGGAAGCTCTTTCTGAGCCTGCTGGTGCGGGAGGGGAGGCTCCTGTAATGGCTGCCAGATGGGAGGAGGGTCCATAGTTACGATGAGAAACGTCCTTGATGATGCATTGGGTAGTTTTCACTACCTGCTGGAGCGCTTTCAAGTCAGCCCTGCACCAGATATTACTCTGCTGCAGGGGGTCAGCGCAGCCATACAGTTGGACTCAACCTTTGGGTTGACCTCCACCTGCTGCTCCAGAAAGATATGATGGGGACCCAGGGCATTGTTAGGCTTTTTACTCCAGTGCCCGCTTACCAGGATCCCTCTCAGTTCCCCTCAGAGTGGGTAAAGGTGGTAAAGCCTTCGCTTGGGCCACCCCAGTCTGGGAGAATCAAACTGCTGTATGCACTTCCTCAGACCTCTACATGGAGAGTGGCCCACTGCTCCTTTGCATATGGCAAGGGAGATGATAGCCGGCTGACAACAATGTTGAGTTCTGCATTATGGCTGCATAAAGTGGATGGAACTCTGCGTTAGTGGCAGCCTTCCACCAGGGAAACCTTAACAGGGAGCCTGAAGACAATTTGGGCCCTTGAGATCCTCCTTTCTCCCTCAAGGAACTGATAATGTGAGTGCCGCAGGGACTGTGTCACCAGGCGCACTGTTCAACAGCATCTGCAGCATCACAACCCCTGCACTGACTGACTGACATAGTCTGTGACAGTCTTGGGATCCCAGTTACATTTACATTTACATTTACATCATTTAGCAGACGCTCTTATCCAGAGCGACTTACAAAAAGTGCTTTGTCTATCCAGAGAAAGAATCTTCGCTAGCTACCAATAGGTTAGAGAGAAAGTCAGTCCTAAGCTCAGATACTGCTAGAATCAGAAGGTCATTGACACCTAGTGAAAAAGGGACAGAGTTAAACACAGAACAGTGCAATACAATAAAATACATAAGTGCTGTACAATACATTACAATCAATACTTAATTTAGTGCTCATTTAAGTGCTGAATAAACAGGTGTGTCTTCAGTCTGCGTTTGAAGATAGCGAGAGACTCTGCTGTACGGACAGCCAGTGGGAGTTCGTTCCACCACCTGGGTGCCAGCACAGAGAACAGTCTAGATGCTTGCCTTCCACGCGCCTTGAAGGATGGCGGGTCAAGCCGAGCTGTACTCGAAGCTCGAAGGGCTCGTGGTACAGTTCGAGATTTGACCATTGCCATCAAGTAGGGAGGGGCTGGTCCATTTTTGGCCTTGTAGGCAAGCATAAGGGTTTTAAATCTGATGCGTGCAGCTACAGGAAGCCAGTGAAGGGAGCGCAGCAGTGGGGTGACGCGGCTGAACTTTGGGAGATTGAAGATGAGTCTTGCTGCTGCATTCTGGATGAGTTGCAGAGGCCAGATGGCCTGCATCGGAAGACCAGCCAAGAGCGAGTTGCAGTAGTCAAGCCTTGAGATGACAAAAGACTGCACTAGCACCTGGGTGGCCTCTCGAGAGAGAAAGGGTCGGATCCTCCGGATGTTGAACAGCAGAAATCTGCATGACCGAGTTAGGTTCGCAGTTGCTGGGTTCCTGTTTAAAGTCCTCCTCTGTCCATGCTGGAGCTCCCTCATCACCCTCCTCCCTGACCCATCATGCACCACTCCCAAGTACTTTGATCTTCAGGAGATCTTCAGCAAACAGAAAGCCGAGCTTCTACCTGTCAGTTGTACAATTGTGCGTTGACTTCCTCTGAGATACCAGTCCTCCCCAGGGCAGACTATTCTCTCTGTCAAAACTTAAGCATAAGGCCATGGAGGACTACATCCATGAGGCTTTGGCTGTGGGTTCATATGGCCCTCCATCTCTCCAGCATGTGCTAGGTTCTTGTTTATGGGGAGGAAGGACAGGGCATCTTTGTCCTGCATTGACTACTAGGGCCTCAACAAGGTCACAGTCAAGGATCATTATCCCCTACCCCTCATGACCTCAGCCTTCGAGGAACTGCAGCAGGCCTCAATTTTCACTAAGCCGGACCTGCGCAATGCCTACAATCTCATCCAGGTTAGGCAGAGTGATGAGAGGAAGACAGCCCTTATCACGCCAATGGACCATCATGAGTACTTGGTCATGCCCTTTGGACTGATGAATGTACCATCCATCTTCAGCGTTACATCAACAAGATCTTGAGAAAGACCCTGGACCACTTCATGTTTGTTGATCTGGATGACATCCTCATTTATAGCCGCTCAATGGAAGAACATGTAACATGAATGTAAAATACTGGAAAATCTGAAATAATAGGTTTTCTTTCGGGACTATTTTGCCTCACAGCGCCCTGCATGTATCCGTCCACCATAAATGGATTTTTAGGAAATAGTCTTCTATTTCTTCTATTTCTCTAATGTCTCAGACATTAATTCTGACTCAGTAAGTTTCTCTAGAATGGAGCATTTTACACCAAACCACTCTAAACAACGTCATCTAGTATTTAATTATGCAAGAAATTGGGGAAATTGATGGACGTCCTCTGTACTGTATTGTAAATGTGCAGGTATGGATACTGGCCCAACAGTTTCTTCAGAAAGTTAGGAATTCCTGGACCCAAACCTCTCCCATTGCTGGGAAACATGTTAGAGTACAGAAAGGTGAGTTAATACAGGATAAAACTTTGTCTCTATTACAGTGGAATAATTATTATTTCACATAATGTTTAATCAATATTTGTTTTTGTAATTCTGATATTTTCAGGGTGTCCATGGGCTTGATATGGACTGCTTTATGAAGTATGGGAGGATTTGGGGGTGAGTACATACTGTTCATTGCAGTTTTTACCCTTTTGTACATAATAAAGGTGTTAGACGGAATCAAACATGCTCCTTAGGAGATATAAAAGATTCCCTTTGGTTCCATGAAGAGCCTTTCAACTTATGGTTCTGTAAAGAACTGTTTTTGTAAAGGAGGTGTGTGAGCGTCAAGAAACAGATTTAATTTTGGCTTTTTGTTGCTTCCTCAGATTTAAATCACTTCTGTTAGTCATAATCGAACCTGTTTTGTGGTGAGCAGAGCTGGTAGCATGCTAGCTAAGCTAATGCTAACCAGTTACTCTCTCAAGTTTTAAGCACTCTGTGTAGAAGTTCTGTGTGGAAAAGCCACTGGAATGATTACCCTCCCTGCTCAGAACAGTTCAGCCTTGCGGTGGAAAAGAGATCATTGAGATTCTCAGAATTAATGTCCCAAAAAAGGTTATTTGCACAAGTGTATAACTGTTTACGGGTTACATCCTGAAGGTTTTACATCATGTGGAGGTTCTTTAAACCAAAAGACAGTTTGTTCACATTCATGCTTCTCATTTACAGTGCCTTGAAAAAGTATTCATACCCATTGAGCTTTTGAACCACATTTTTTCACGTTACACCCACAAACACCTAAATGTATTATATTGGGATTTTATGTGAGAGACCAACACAAAGTAGCAAGTAATTGTGAAGTAAAAAGAACATTATACATGGTTTTCAAATTTTTTACAAATAAAAATCTGGAAAGTGTGGCATTTGTATTCAGCCCCCCTGAGTCAATACTTTGTAGGACCACCTTTTGCTGCAATTACAGCTGGAAGTCTTTTGAGGTATGTCTCTACCAGCTTTGCACATCTAGGGGCTGAAATGTTTGCCCATTCTTCTTTGCAGAATAACTTAAGCTCAGTCAGATTGGATGGAGAGCGTCTGAGACTAGCAATTTTCAAGGCTTGCCACAGATTCTCAATGGGATTTAGGTGGGTCATTCTAACACATGAATATGCTTTGATCTAAACCATTCCATTGTAGCTCTGGCTGTATGTTTAGGGTTGTTGTCCTGCTGGAAGGTGAACCTCCGTCCCAGCCTCAAGTCTTTTGCAGCCTCCAACAGGTTTTCCTCCAGAATTGCCCTGGATTTAGCTCCATCCATCTTCCCATCAACTCTGACCAGCTTCCCTGCCTCTGCTGAAGAGAAGCATCCCCACAGCATGATGCTGCCACCACCATGTTTCACGGTGTGGATGGTGTGTGCAGGGTGATGTGCGGTGTTAATTTTCCGCCACACGTAGCGTTTTACATTTAGGCCAAAAAGTTCAACGTTGGTCTCATCTGACCAGAACACCTCCTTCCACATGTTCACTGTGTCCCCTTCATGGCTTGTGGCAAACTGCAAACGGGACTTCTTATGGCTTGCTTTCAAAAATGGCTTTCTTCTTGCCACTCTTCCATAAAGGCCAGATCTGTGGAGTACACGACTAATAGTTGTCTTGTGGATACAGAACAGCTCTAGTTATACAGAGAATAAATTACACACAGGTGGACTCTATTTACTAATTAGGTGACTTCTGAAGGCACACTGGATATTATTTAGGGGTATCAGAGTACAGAGGGCTGAATATAAATGCACGCCACACTTTTCAGATTTTTATTTATTAAAAATTTTGATAACCATGTATAATTTTCTTTTCACTTCACAATTATTTGCTGCTTTGTGTTGGTCTCTCACATAAAATCCCAATAAAATACATTTAAGTTTGTGGGTGTAACATGAAAAATGTGGAAAATTTCAAAGGGTATGAATACTTTTTCAAGGCACTGTGCACAAATGATTCTCCACAAGAGCGTTCTCTAAAAAAATCCATCGAAAACTTCTTCACAAAACCAAAAGGGGTTATTCTATGGCACTGTTTAAAGAACCCTTTTTGGGACCTTTATTTTTAATAGTGCTGGGTTGTTTAGAGAATAAATGCTGAACACTGTGCTGGTTATCACATCCCTGTGAAACATTGTCCATGATTGAAAATGCAATTTGTGAGTGTGAAGAAACTTTTAAAGGTTCTCATAACGTACCAACTGAAAAATTAGATATTAGAACCTTTACATTAAGTTGAGGTTCTTCAAACTTTAAAAAGGGTCTTTACATTCAGACATCTCATTTAAAAGAATGATTCACCAAAGAACCGTCCATTGAAAGCTTCTGTAGGAAACCAAAATGGTTTCACTATTCTATCATGCAAGAACCCTTTTTGGGACCTTTATTTTTAGTGTTGGGGTGGTTTAGAGAATCAATGTCCATACTGTACAAGGTACACAACACAACTTAGAACACAGACAACATTACACTCTAGCACATTTGGGTTGTAAGAAATTTGCTAAAGTAGACAATCGAGGGGTTATAAATGAACTTGGTGAAACTTTTTTGTATACATTCTATAAATTCAGCTAGAACCAATTTTTGTTCCCTAAACATTTATGATGGCTCTTTGAAGAACCATTTTTGTAAACGAGAGATACAAAAGTGTGAAGAATCTACTGACAAGTTAGGTTGTAAAGGTTCTGCACCAATTAAAGATTTTTTTCTGGTACTGTAGTCCGAGACAAGAACTTAATTGTAAAAACTTTTCATGCTTATTGTTATGAGTTACATTTCTGTAATATATATGTTACTTTCAGGATATATGACGGGAGAATGCCTATACTTTGTGTGATGGACAGAACCATCATTAAATCAGTGTTCGTTAAAGAATGTTACTCACTCTTCACCAACAGACGGGTAAGAACAAAATAATTATCCATGGAAATGTTTAACCCTGTTTGCTGTGAGCAATATTATAAAAGTAAAGGATAACTGTAAATAGTACTGTGCAAAAGTAAGAACATCAACGCTTGAGATTTGAGAACCAGCATGTAATAATTAAAATTATTACTGCAGTAGTTTAATATTAAACGTTGGTGCTGAAGCTCACAGTAACCAAAACCCAACATTGTGAGAGTGTCTTAAGTTGAGTGGCGTCAACAGACTATGTTTTTGCTCTGTTTATGTAAACTTGACCTTTAACCCTGTGTGCTTTTATTTTGTAATGTGGCCAGGATTTCGGTCTGAACGGTTTGCTGTATGACTCCCTGTTTGTGGCCATAGATGAGGACTGGAAAAGAATCCGGAACATTCTCTCTCCCTGTTTCACCAGCGGAAGACTGAAGGAGGTGGGATTAATGCTGATTAACAGCAAACAGTAACTAACAGTAAATAACACTAACATTAATTAGCAGTAATTTACACAAATTAACAAACATTAATATGCACTCTATTACATGAATTAGCAATACTGCACATGAATTTGTACAAATTATCTCTAATTTAGACAAATTAGTGGATCAGTCGGTCAGTTAGTTGATCAGTGAGTCTGTTTGTAGATTAGGGGATCAGTTGGTGGCTCAGTGATTCAGTTGGTGAATCAGTGCGTCAGTTACTGGATCAGTGGGTCAGTTAGTGGATCAAAGGGTCCGTTGGTGGATTAGTGGGTAAGTTAGTAAATCAGTGGGTCAGTTAGTTGATGAGTGGGTTTGTTTGTGGACCAGTAGGTCAGTGAGTGGACAACTGGGTCAGTTTGTGGGTCTGTGGGTCAGTTTGTGGATCTGTGGGTCAGTTGGTGGATCAGCAGGGTTGGGATAGCTATTGAAAAATGAGTAGTTAGCTACTTTGTAGCTACTTTCCCAAAATTTGTAGCTGCTACAATTTACCTATTTTTCCAGAAAAAGTAGTGGCTACGTTTTAGCTACTTTAAAAGCGCGATTGTCAGAATATTTGTGAATCTCCACCTGACACACCAAACAAGCCCAACTGACAGTGTGAAAAAGACACTGCATTTAGTCATGTGCCAGAAAAAAACATACAATTGAAAAGCTGCAAATATACAAAAAGATCACCAAAAAGTGAGTTTAAGTGTAACCAAGAATCAAACTTACACAACCAAAGGCATGATATACAGCAAACATTTAGACTAAAGGAAAAGTCAATAATTCCAGGTTTTTCCTAACAAAAATCAACAGAAATAACCAAATACAAACCAGAGAATTTTGTGCAAAGCGTTGTCAACTGTTGAAATAAAAATAAAGCTCTGCTGATCGTTCAACACAGTTTAACAATAAATGGTCTTAAACGCTGGAGTTAATGTAGAACTGCTAATTCACCCTTTAACCCTGAAGATCAGCGCAGACTGCTGGTCACCATAGCAACACAGACAACAGTCTCGCCTAGCTCATAGCTAACAAAACTGTAAAGATAAAGATTTAAGATGAACATCGATAATTTGGAGATTAATGGACTTATTTGCATTTATAATCACTCCAGCTGGTTTAGTGGTTCAGATGGTGGATCATTGGGTCAGTTGGTGGATCAGTGGTTCAGCTGGTGGAGTAGTGGGTAAGATCGTGGATCAGTGGTCAGTTTGTGGGTTGGGCGGTCAGTTAGTGGATCAGTGGGTCAGATGTTGGATCAGTGGGTCAGTTAGTGGATCAGTGGGTAAGTGTGTGGACCAGTTGGTCAGGCAGTGGATTAGAGGGTCAGTTAGTGCATCAGTGGGTAATTAGTGTATCAATGAGTCAGTTGGTGGATTAGTGGGTCAGTTGGTGGTTCAATTGGTCAGTTAGTGGATCAGTTAGTCAGTTGGTAGACAAGTGGGTCAGGCATTGGATCAGTGGGTCATTTAGTGGATCAGTGGGTCAGTGTGTGGATCAGTGGTCATTTAGTGTATCAGAGGTCATTTGGTTGATCACTTGGTCAGTTACTGTATCAGTGAGTAATTAGTGTATCAGTGAGTCATTTGGTGGATCAGTGGGTTAGTTGTTGGATCAGTGGTCAGTTAGTGGACCACTGGGTCAGTGTATGAATCAGTGGGTCATTTGGTGTATCAGATGAATGATTTTTGTGTTTCTTTAGATGTTTGGGATCATGAAGACACATTCAGATACTTTAGTTAAGAACCTGGAAAAGACAGCGAAGGAAAAGAGTGGAGTACATGTTAAAGAGTAAGTATCAGCTTATTACTATTACTATTATTATTATTATTATTATTAGTAGTAGTAGTAGTAGTAGTATCTCAATGCAGTAAAAGATGCAGACCTTTTAATGGTGGTAGCCCTGCTCATTCACCCGATAGCAGTGTAGAGAACTCAGTTTGCTAATCTCCAGGTCAATGGTAGTTTATGTTGTTAAAATATGATGTTATGTTGTTGGTATTGTAATGAGGGGATTCTCACAAGAATCATTGACAACTCAGAGTTTGAACCCATTATGCAGCTTTATTAGACACATGAATCAGCAGAGTACAAGCAAAGCAGCATGCTCCCTAACTGTTAGCTCAAGGTTCCTACTCACTGAAACTAACTCCTGTTGCCCACTTCACACACACAGCCCTGCCCTCCAGAATAAAAGTCTAAAGAGACTAGACCCAGACATAAAACTAACAACATCTTGTGAGACATAATAAAACAACATAAAAACATCTTCTGAAAACACTACCTACTGTCTTTTTTAGCTAAATGAACACAGGCATGTTTTGACCCGACATTGTCCTCCCACTTCATCCAAGAGCAGTGACCCCACTGCTTACCAGTCCCACCAGACCAAGTCTTTGAAATGTCTCAGGATCTGTTGCCTCCTCAATCTTCAGTCCTCCTGAGAGACGGATGGGTACTGAGAGGATTCTTTTTTTTATTTTTATTTTTTTTTCTCCCCAATTTAGTCGTCTCCAATTCCACCCGCTAGTTAGGACTCCACCAATCACACGATACTGTCAACACTAGGAGGGTGAAGGCAAACACAGGCTTCCTCCGAGACCTGTGAAACCAGTCACCGCATCTTTTCGAACTGCCGCTCACGCAACGTCACTGGACAGCTGAACGCACTCGGAGGAAAGCGCCAACCGCCAGATCTGTTACGTCAGCTAACAGACGCCTGCGCTGACTAGCATCGCGATCTCCTGATGATAAGGCCAACGCTTAGATGGTTGCGCCACTCGGGAGCCCCTACTGAGATGATTCTAAAGCTGCTGAGTGCCGTTGGTTTTCTGTGCAGCTAAGGAGCATGAGTTGGGTCTTGAAGGGCTCTGAGGACAAGGGCGCCCCTCCTGATCCTCCAAACACGGAAACAGGTGGCCTCTCCACCATAAGGCAGGGTCCTATTCATTCATGGTCTTCTTTGGGAGAATGGCCTTTCCAGCAGCATAGAGTAAACACTCAGATGACTAAAACTTCCGGCACTTGACCCACTGGTCTTTCTACTTTCTCCATCATCCACTGCGTCTTCAATGCTGGAAAGGGTGCTGCTTGTGTGCACTGCTCACAGCTCTTAGGGATCCATCCACTGGCACTGGTGCTGCATGTTCAGTTTTTCCTGCATTGGCTTCACCTGTGAAAAGCCATGGCTTCCTTGACTTGACAGCACGCTATGCCCCCGGGGATCCACCAGATGGCTCTGATGATGCATGTTCAGGCTTTCCAGAGCAGGCTGTTTCCCTCTCAATGAATGAAGGCCACACTGCCAGGGAGCTCGAACTCTTTGCCTTGGCTTGGACCAGCTTCACCTGTCCCTTCTCCACACCCAGCGTGTCCTTCTGAGGTTGAGCACCAACCTGGCTACTGCAGGGAAATCCAAAGTAAGTATGCACGCATCCTGTTTAGGTGCGAGACACAACTTGTGCACTCGGCTCAGGCCCTCCACCATGACGGAAGCCGCCTCCTTCCTCTCATGTCGACTCGGCAGCCAGTGACAGATTTGAGTGGGACGCTCGTTGCTTCCCAGTAGGCAGGTGTGCAGCACTCAGTGTGAAGAAGCACACTTGGATGTAGCAGCAACACCGACAAGTCACTGTCAATGAAGGCAGCGAGTTGCACATAATCCAAAGCAGTGAGCTGCAATCGACCCAAAGTCTGCAGCAGCCATCAGTCTTTCTGGCTGGCTTCCAATTTCCCATGGAAATGTTTTATAGCATTGAATGGCACAGTGTCCCCTCTTCCTGCACCGCCAACAATCCACTTGCTCTGCTGCCAAACGCATCGTCTCCTCCACCAGCATGGGGTTACACATCACAGTGTCTCCACACCAATGACAAGCTCTGACCCTTCTGTCTCTTCTCCCTCACACTCGCTGGTATTGGAGTCTGCCCCCCCGTCCGAACAAACCTGGCTTCAGCCTGCATATTCTCCCAAAATCGCCTTCATTGATTCTGCTCACTTTAAAGCCTCTCCCCCAGGCAAGTTGGCTTTGCAAGCCACAACCAATGGAGTTTCTCTCTAATGTGCATGGCAAACACTTGCTCATCAAACCGCCTCCCCAGGCTGGCTGTAAGGTTGTACCAAGTTAATGTAACATTGGCACTGAGCTCTAACATTACCTGCCCCTTTCCATGGCAGAGGCTACCTGAGCCGCCTTTGCTTGGTCCCACTACCCCACCTCAACCATCTCAAACTGCCGTAGGTAAGCTAATGAACTCCATGTACCATCATAACACCTTACCTTAGGCATATGCATTGGTATTGTAGGGCTGGATTTGGCTGCTACGTTTGCAGAGTCACATCGGGGGCTGGTAGTGGCACTGCCGCGGAGGACATAAGTTCAACGATTCATTGCTATATTGACCACTTGAGGTCGGCTATTTTTTCAGCTAGCCTGCATGCAGAGGGTGCCACACCCCTCCACCCAGCATGACACAAGTTGTAAGGAGATTACTCTTCTCCAAGGCCAGGGAATGAACCATCCCCTGGTCACCCCCTCTTCACAGCAGCTTGTTGATTTTTTTTGCCATCTTCGGGAGAGCGCACTCTTTGCCTGAGTTTTTGCAGCTTCTTCTTGTCCTCCATCGGCCTTGCCTCCCCCTGCTGCTAGTTTCTTGAGCCACTTCTGACACCATTGTAACATAGGCAATTCTCATAACAAGCATAGACAACTTGGAGTTCAAACCCGTAACACAGCTTTGTCAGGAACTTGAATCGGGAAACACAGTACGAGCAAAGCAGCACATTCTCTAACTGTTAGTTCATAGCTTCTGACTGAAGCTCACTCTCGTTGCCCACTTCACACACACAACCCTATTCTCCACAGAGAATAAACCCAGAACCCAAAACTAACATGTAATAACATCCACCTACTCTCTTTTTTTAACTATATGGAACCCAGGTGTGTTCTGATGCCATAGTATGTTATGATGATCTTTTGTCATATCATTGGTATGTTGCATTGTTATGTTAGTGTTGTTATTGTTTGTTATTATATGCTTTGTTATGGTTTTGTTGGTACAATATTACGTTATTATACGATGGTGTTATGTTACGGTGTTATTATGTTATATACTCTGTGCTATGTTGTTCTAAGCTGTGTTGTGTATGTGCAGGTTGTTTGGAGCGTACAGTATGGACGTGATTACCAGCTCAGCGTTCAGCGTTGACATCGATTCTCTAAACAACCCCAAAGATCCGTTTGTGACGAACGTGAAGAAGTTGCTGAATTTTGATTTCTTAAAGCCAACTTTCCTCATTACAGGTAGTTCAGTTTTACATTTACTCATATTTACATTCAGCTGTTTACAAAATAGTTGATACTTAACCAGAAGTTTCTGCAGTGAACTGTAATAAATCACGTTGGGTAATTCAGTATGACATTTTGTGCAATTACAACACTCAATTCACTATAATCTTCATTATATATTTATTATTTATAGTAAATTTACCAAATTTCTTATGCCATAATAAGAAATCACTGATATAAAGTGTCTTCTTCTCTAGTGTTGTTCCCCTTCACCATCCCCCTGCTGGAGAAAATGAATGTAGCTTTCTTCCCTACATCTGCAACTGATTTTTTCTGTGCTGTCCTGAAGAAAATCAAGGCTGACCGAGTGGCCAAAGACCACAAGGTACATTCAAGACTTCAAGTTTGCAAAGATGTTGATGTTATTGTATGAAATAAGTTGCCTTCACACATATTAATTGTTTAACTTAGATTTTTTCTTTTTTAACAATAATACTCATTTTCTTAAATAAATATGTACAGTTTTATAACATTTATATATGTTACAAAGATACAGTTAAGATTCAGGTTATCTTCAGTATCTTGTAGTCACTTTCTAACTTTTCATGTAGCAGTTCCAGGATCTGTGGGAGAATGACCGATTTTTTTATGTGTCCCAACACTTCCTGTAGAGCAGAGTGGACTTTATGCAGCTAATGGTGGATTCTCAAACACCAGAGAAAGCAGCAGACCAACAAGGAGAGGAGATAAAGAAAGGTAATGCTTTATCAGTTTAGAATGCCTCCTCGCTGACCTGCTCAGATCTGGTTAATGTTATCAGGAAATAATGTCCACATTCAAAATGTGCTAAATTTAAGACTTGTGTTTTCATTAGTTTTGAGATATAGAGGCTTTAAAAAATGGACGTGGCCTTAATTTTGCCTTAAAATAAGTGTTGTTCCTTTTTCAGGAATTATTTTTTTATTTATGCATCTCCAGAGACCAGGAAATTGCCAGGGCTTCCATCTTATGGCTTGCTAAATATTTGCAATTGTTTTGGGGGCTTTGCTTTTTTGTGTTGAAATGAATTTGGCCTCCATATTTTCACAATTAAGTATATTCTATTTTTCAGATTTTGATTTTTGCCAACTAGGAATTGATCTTAAAGTAATGAAGGTGTCTGATTCATCGAAAGAGTAAAAATCAAAAAGATTAGATCATGGCTATGTTTGAAATGCACACTGCTATCTCATCTCTGACAAAGTTTACCATAAAATTTATAAAAAAATTTAGATTTTTAGACATTTCGAAAAAGCATCTTTCAGTTAACCAGTGTACCAAACAATGTTGGAATGTTTGGGTCAATGACGTTTTAATGACGTTTGGGTCAATGAAGTTTTAAAGTGACAATTTTAAAAAATCTTATTTAAAAAAGTGTATTTTTATATCTGTTTATACAGGGCTGTAAAATTATTTGCCCAATTTCTTCTATTTTTGCTAATTTGTCAAATTTAAATGTTTCAGGTCATCCAACAAATTTTAATATAAGATAAAAACAACACGAGTAAACACATAATGCAGCTTTTAAGTGATCATTCCATTCATTCAAGATAAAGATTTATTCAAAACCTATATCATGCATGTGAAAAAGTAACTGCCCCCCAAAACCTAATAGCAGGTCATGCTGCCCTCGTCAGTAACAACTGCAATCAAATGTTTGCGATAACTTGTGATGAGTCTTTTATATCACAGTGGAGGAATTTTAACCCACTCTTCTTTAAAGAACTGTTTTAATTCAGCTACATTGGATGGTTTTTGAGCAAGAAACGCCAGTTTAAGGACTCAATGGGATTTAAGTCAGGATTTTGACTCAGTCTGTGTAAAACCTTAATTTTGTTTCTTTTAAGCCAATCAGAGGTGGACTTGCTTGTGTGCTTGAGATCATTGTCACTGCAGAAGCAAAACAGCCCCAGACTATCACACAACCACCACCATGCTTCACTGTTGGTATGATGCTCTTATGGCAGAATGTGGCATTAGTTTTGTGTCAGATGAAATGGGACTCATGTCTTCCAAAAAGTTTCAGCTTTGACTCCTCAGTGTACAGAATATTATCCCAAAAGTATTGGGTGTCATCTAGATATTTTTTCAGCAAATGCAAGACGAACCTTTGTGTTCTTTTTAGTCAGCAGTGGTTTGCGCATCAATGCTACTTTTTCCCCATTGTCTTTCTTATTGTGGAATCATGTAAATTGACCTTAACTGATGCAAGTGAGGCCTGCAGTTCTTTAGATGCTTGTCTGGGTTCTTTTTTGCACTCTTGAAATTTTGGTAGGCTGACCACTTCTGGGAAGGTTCACCACTGTTCCAAGTTTTCTCTGTTTGTGAATAATGGCTCTCACTGTGGTTCTCTGGAGTCCCAGAGCCTTTAGAATGTTTAGAATGTGGTATTGTGTGCTGTTTTTGAGGCCTTCTAGCTGCTTCACATTACCAGACAGGTTCTATTTAAGTGATGTTTAGGCCCACTTGTTAAAGTTTCCATATCTCAGAAATTAATAGAGACACAAGCTTAAGATTTTCCACATTGTTATGAGACTGTTATGTTACTGGTTTTAGATACATGAGAAATTACAGTACTTCTTTTTGTGTATGTTTTACCTCTGAAGGTCTGAGTGATCATGAGATTTTATCACAGTCCGTCTCCTTCATCTTTGCCGGTTATGAGACGAGTAGCAGCACACTGTCCTTCTTCTTCTACAGCATGGCCACCAACCCAGAAACGATGAAGAAACTTCAGGAAGAGATCGACCAGACCTTCCCAGATAAGGTGACTGTCATATTTCACCAGACCTACACTTACAGAAAAATAAAGAACTGTGTTTCTGGGATCAGAGATCAGCACCACTGAAATCATCAACTGAAAACTTTCATATGTGTTTGTTGTTATGTGTGCAGACACTATGAAGAAAGGTGATTACAGAGATTTTAACCATGGCACTGTGAAATGTGACTGTCTTGGAGCAACAACAGCTCAGCCATGATGCGGTACACTTTGCAGACTCACAGATTGGCGAGCTGAGTGCTGAAGCACATAGCATGTAAAAATTGCCTACTCTGTTTCATCACTCACTATAGAGTTCCAAACTTCTTCTGGAAGCAACATCAGCACATGACCTGTGTGTGATGAGCTCAGGAATGGGTTTCTATGGCTGAGCAGCTGCACACAGGCCTAAAATCACTATGCACAATGCCGAGCGTCGACTGGAGGGGTGTAAAGCGCTGCCACTGGACTCTGGATCAGTGGAAACGTGTTCTCTGGAGTGATGAATCGTGCTCCAATATCTGTCAGTCTGATGGCCAAATCTGGATTTGGTCCATGCCAGGAGACGCTACCTACCGGAATGCAGAGTGCCAACAGTAAATTTAGGTGGGATGGATGGGCTGGGGCTTTGGGCCCCTTAGTTCCAATGAAGGGTGATGTTAATGGTACAGCATACAAAGACACAATTATACGCTACCAGCTTTGTGGCAGCAGTTTGGGGAAGAGCTTTTCCTGGTCCAGCATGACTGAGCCATTGTGTACAAAGCAGCTCCATAAAGACATTGTTTTGACGAGTTTGGTGTGGCGAAACTCTGGTGGCCTGCACAGAGCCCTGACCTCAACCCCACTGAACCTCTTTGGCATGACCTGGAACTTGATTGTGAGCCAGGCGCTCTTTAGACTAAATGGGCACAAATTCCTTCAGACACACTCCAAAATCTTGTAGAAAGCTTCCCAGAAGAGTGGAGGCTATTAAAGTTGCAAAGGGTAGCAACTCTGTATTAACGCCCTTGGCTTTGGAATGGGATTTCCAAAAGTCTCATATAAATGTAAAAGTGTCCACATACTTTTGAATGTGTAGTATACTTGCCAACTGCATTTAAAAAACCTTGCTAGCATTGCCTGTGTGTTATTTTTGTCTTTAGGCTCCAGTTCAGTACGATGCAGTGATGAGTATGGAATATCTGGATGCTGCTCTGAATGAAACGCTGAGGTTGTACCCTGTGGCAGCACGGATTGACAGAATCGCCAAGAAAACTGTGGAGATTAATGGTGTGACTATCCCTGAGGGAACCACTGTCATGATTCCCATATATCCCCTCCACAGAGACCCTGAATACTGGCCTGACCCAGATACCTTCAACCCTGAGAGGTAGAAACTATAGTGAAATAATCACTGCAGTAAAAATGAAGTATGTTTCTAGAAATGCAGTGGAACGTCTTACCGTCCTGCATCTCTCAGAATAGTAACTGAAGGTTGTATAGCCCTATTTTTCTCTCACTGGATCATTTTCACTACATTACTTTAAAAGCTAAAGCTCCAAAAAGAGCAGAGTGATAGACAGTAAAGCAGTCCAGGAGCTAAACCAACACAACAAAATGAAATTAGACTCGAATTAAGAACTAAACGTTAATGTTAAAAAGTAAAGTACTTTACTTAATAATATACTGGAGTAAACGGAGACACTTACTACGCATCTGTTTACTAGTTATGTACATATTAAGTATGTCACGGATTAATTAAAGAGACAGTCATATTCAAAGTAAAGAATATGACTGTTCAAATGAATTCATTGTCAGACTGCAGCTCTCAAAATCCTTTCATGAAACTTTCAGTAAAGTCAATGCAGTCAAAATATTATCAGAGAAGCCTGTTAGCCATTTAACTTACCACTGAGCCATTCAGCAATTACAAATGAAATAAAACCATTTACTTAAATTCATAACGTGAAACAACTATAAATGTACAGTAGTGAGATCCTGCTGGTGTGGGTTTCCTCCCTCTCTGTGATGCTCACTAAAATGATTTATGTGCTTCAGGCTGCCAAACATGGCTTTGTAATGATCTGTGATTTCCCAGTTTATCATTCAACATGCAAATGAATCACTAAGCTGATTCTTATTGCTTTAAAACTAATCCAGACAATCCTGATAGCTCACTTTTCAGTGAATCTCAGAGACACTGAAAGACCAGGGAACAGCCAATAAAATGCAGTCTCAGGGGAATAAAGTCAGGAGAACCCAGTGATGCCTCAAGCAGCCATGGTGTCGCCACCTTTACCAGATGACCTTATTAGGTCTTGCTGACTTGGCACAAACTGTACATTCCCTTCAAAAGAACTTGAAAATGCACTGTCCCCTGTGGTGGTGTAGCGCAAAATTCTAGGGCCCCACCGGAAGAGGCAGGGTGGAGGGCCTGTGTGGACTAAACTGAAAGTATCACTGAGATGACTGGCATGTAGTAATGCAACAAAACTCAAGCTGGCACCGACCCTTAGAAACCTGCAGTGACCTGTATTCAAGCATGCAAACAGAAAGAATACAATAAAACACTCTTCCCTTTAACAATGTCCAAAACGTCCCTTCCTCCTCGCATTTTTCTCAGCAAATTCCTTCAATGTCTATCAGATCCATTTAACTTTCAATGTTGAGAATAGCAAGTCCAGAAAGTTTTGGGACATTGTGCTTTTCATTTCGTAGAGCAGTAGCCATGTCCATCACTTGAGGAATGCCCCAGAAGCAAAAGCTCGGGCAGATCCATAATTTTCTCATAGTTTTTATCTGAGAGCATTTCAGAACAAAAGTATCTATGATGGAAACTTGGATGAAATACCATTCTTGTAAGTAATGGCCTAAACGGATTGGTAGCGTGGTCAAAAAGGTCAATCGACTTGAAGCTGATTAAATGTTACTAATTTTAATTGTTTAAATAAAAGCTAATTAAAAATGTGATTCGTTTTTCCCCTATAGGTTCACTAAGGAGAATAAGGAGAGTATAGACCCCTACATGTACATGCCTTTCGGTGCAGGACCCAGGAACTGTATCGGAATGAGGTTTGCTCTGGTGTCCATGAAGCTGGCCATCGTAGAGATACTGCAGAGATTCGACGTCAATGTTTGTGATGAGACAAAGGTTAGATCATCTAAAGCTAATCATCTTATTAAACTCCATTAATCAACCTATGCGCCTTTTTGTACCAACTGTTGTGAGATTGGACAAGATTATTGTTTATGTCACGGTACCTACATTTAGAGTCGGTTATTCATTCAGCCTAATGAGAAACTGTAGAACAGATTCAGTTTATATCACAATACCTACATTTAGAGTCGGTTATTCATTCAGCCTAATGAGAAACTGTAGAACAGATTCAGTTTATATCACAATACCTACATTTAGAGTCGGTTATTCATTCAGCCTAATGAGAAACTGTAGAACAGACTCAGTTTATATCACAATACCTACATTTAGAGTCGGTTATTCATTCAGCCTAATGAGAAACTGTAGAACAGACTCAGTTTATATCACAATACCTACATTTAGAGTCGGTTATTCATTCAACCTAATGAGAAACTGTAGAACAGACTGAGTTTATATCACAATACCTACATTTAGAGCAGGTTATTCATTCAGCCTAATGAGAAACTGTAGAACAGACTCAGTTTATATCACAATACCTACATTTAGAGTCAGTTATTCATTCAGCCTGATGAGAAACTGTAGAACAGACTCAGTTTATATCACAATACCTACATTTAGAGCAGGTTATTCATTCAGCCTAATGAGAAACTGTAGAACAGACTCAGTTTATATCACAATACCTACATCTAGAGTCAGTTATTCATTCAACCTAATGAGAAACTGTGTGCTGATAACCAGCTGGATGGCCCTCTTGAGTCTGCAGGACACGGCGTCCGTGGTGTTAAATATTATTTTATTTCATTTTACTTTATTTGTTCCTTATTAACTTTGTAACTTCTCTTAAACCTTTTCCCTTGCCTTTTTGTATTAATCTTGTTTGTATGTCTCTCTTGGGTGATGTGTGGGGGCTGTGGAGAGCAGTCCTTTGTCATTTAACGACCCCCAGTGGTTAGCCTATCTCATATCTGGTTATCTATAGCTCCCCAATCTAGCAATGCCATTTGCTGACGGGATATCTCGGAGACATCCTGGCTCCTAGGGTGGGCCTCAACACCTCTATTTTAATTACAAAGGTAGAGGCAGCTGTCCATTCCGTGGGGGGTTCTGGGGGTTCGTTGAGACAAAGAGACAACTGAGGGTGTGGTTTACATTTCGTGACTATAAGTTCATCAGTGTGTAAGCTTCATCAGACTTGTTTGGTTGAGAAGACGCGCGTTCATTAAACTTCATTTTCCTCAAGTCTCCACTCCTGTTTGCTTCAAAAAACAACGCTTGCCAGCAGAAGTCAACAGAGGTTTCCAAAAAGAAATCCAAATTTTGATTCATCTGACCACAGAGCAGTTTTCCATTTTGCCTACATACAATGAGACTCTGCCTCTCTCAAATGCTCTTTTTATACTCAGTCATGTGAGTTAGTTGCAAATTTGCTCCTCCAGCTGATATTTATTAGCACCACTTACCTTTCCAGCCTTGTGTTGCCCCTGTCCCAACTTTTTTGAGATGTGTTGCTGCCATCAAGTTCTAAATGCGTTAATGTTTTTCATGAAATGGTAAAATGTCTCACTTTCAACATCTGACATGTGTTCTATGTTCTACTGAGATTTGCAAATCATTGCATTCTGTTTTTATTTACATTTATTTACATTTTACACAGCGTCCCAACTTTTTTGGAATTGGGGTCGTAAATTCTTATCCTGACAACCAGAGACTTTCTCTCAGTACTGAATTTGTTATTTGCTGAACTATAATGTGAATAATATTGTTTGTTCTTATTCATTTTGTAGATTCCGTTGGAATTTGGTAAGGATGCTTTCTTGGCTCCTAAAGTCCCCATCAAACTAAGATTCACCCCTCGAGCTAACTCCAAATCAGACGACTTCTGCAACAACAATTACTCCAAATCATAACGTGGTTTTGTGGCTTACTTGTCCCATTTTGCTCTGAAGGCTGATTGGAACTAGTTTTTGAGTGTATAATATGTTTACATGTATCAAAATTGATTATTATCAAAAAATGTACACTTGCAATCTCTTGATTTTTAAGTACATCGTTGACGGACACAATGCGAATGTGAAGACAAAATGGAGGAGCTACTCGGGGCCGAAAATGTTTTAAAATGTAAAGAATGTTGATACAAAAGAAAAGCAAAAATAAACTAATGCATGCATAACAAAGTGCTGTTGTTTGTTTAAAAGCAGTGATCACCGTTGGCATAGTAACATTATTTCATCATTTCCTGTTTGCACAAAAAGATGCAGTACATTTTGCATTTAATAATCTGCCAGAATCTTCCACATCCCCGCTAGAGCAATCAGCATGATCACCAGTAAAACCAGTATCTGTTGTGTTTTGGATGCTGTTGTGCTGGTCAACCACCATGACCATGCTGGGTTTGATTCCCAGCCGGGTGACCAGGGTTCTTTCTGTGTGGAGTTTGCATGTTCTCCCCGTGTCTGCATGGGTTTCCTCCGGGTTGTCCGGTTTCCTCCCACAGTCCAAAGACATGCAGTCAGGCGAACTGGACATGCTAAATTGCCCCTAGGTGTGAATGTGTGTGTGAATGTATATGTCTGTCTGTCTGCCCTGTGATGGACTGGCGACCTGTCCAGGGTGTTTCCTGCCTTCTGCCCATCGACTGCTCGGATAGGCTCCAGCTCCCCCCGTGACTCAGAAGGCTGAGCGGTTTGGGAAATGCTAAAGCTCTAAAGTGAGCTGAGTGATCAACAGTGAGGCAGAACAGGAGCTCAACCAGCACAACAGAATGAAATTAAACCCAAACTTTTATTTCACTGCCTCTTCATCTACATCTTCATGTGTTTCTGAAGGAAGTCCCTGTTTGTTGTTTTGTAGTTTTTTTTTACAGGATTGAGAAAGCCAGTCGGCCTTTATAGCGTGCTAAATTTCATGGTGAATGGATCAATAGAAAAGCTTCAGAATTACTTAAAAAGAAATTCTACTTCCGTTAAATTCCATGCAAAGTTAAGAATGTTTTTTCTTTCTCCTGTAAAGTTACAGTTTTGGAAATACAGGATTTTGTTCCAACAGCAGTGATATCTTTATAAAATAACAATAACAAGCATTTATCCACGAAAAATAGACCCAGTATTTTTGTAGAAATGTCAACACTACACTAAAATATACTATAAAATATGTTTTAAGTAGTTTTGTAAGTGCCTATAACAGGGTGGATATTGTTTGGAAAAGTGTATATAAACACTAAACCATAAACATCT